GACATTCTCCTAATTGGACTCAACTAGCTGGATGTCCTCATCTGTTGGAGTCTTGAATAGTTAATGAGTTGGTTGAATTCCAGAATTATATGTGAGATAGGATTCTTGTGGGAGTTAAGATTCCTAATTGCGTAGGAATTCTAAAGGGTCAACCATCGTCAGTTGTGAGGGGAGCACATTCCCGAGGACAAATGTTTGCAATATGCGAAGCAGCATGAGATGTGGTCGGCCTAGTGTCTCGAGGATGAACATGCTCGAGGAAACCGCAGATGGATTTACAACTTTATCAAAAAATAGTCGTCGGGATATATACTGATCGGGGATATTGGAAAATGTCACCATCACCACCCATTAATTATTAGATTTTTTTAATGTTCAACACAGGTCGGAAGAAGGGATTTAGCCAAGTTATTTGGAAGGTGATAAAACATTAGAAAAAGGGTCCATTTCTTTACATTAGCTTAGCCTATCACAGTGCTGATGGCGAAGAAGGTAAGCATTTCACAATTCACATGATACCCTCAAATATTTTTGTGGTGTATGATGAATTCAATAATCAAGTTGTGCGTGCACGCGTGAAGTTATATATATAGACAGACAGACAGACTCCTACATTATATATAGGAGTCGAGGTAGGCATCTTTGTATTGTGTTAGAGGTGTGAGATCTTCGTTGAAAACTTCCAAAATTTATAGTGTGCAGTTGTACATCGTTAACTACATTAACGAGGTGAAGGGCAAAGACAGGGTATGTTTATCAAGCTCATGCAGCCTTGTGTAGTTATGTTTATAGACTAGAAGGTTCCAGGACTCTGTGAATCACCCGAACTTCCCTTCATAGATAGTGACTCCAGGGAAGCCTTACAAACAAGTATGCTGTACACATTTTCAACCAAGAAAGATTAAGAGCTTTGTGGAACAAATTATCTTGGAACAATACCTTCCCTGCTAATTTATTTCTATTAGGTTTTGACACCCAATAAATTTCAAGCGATGATTTAGAAAAGTTGTTGGATAATTTATTAACACCATAGACTTAGCTCGACCTAGAAAACAACCTCGCCCACTTTAGAATGGCCCATGAGTTTAGCCCAATTGTCATTGTGGTTATTGGTTTAGGCCTTGGTTGATTGGTTATGCTTTAGACCATTTAGTTGGTTAGCTTGGCATTTCAGTTGGTGATCCAATTAATCTTTTTGGCCCATTTTGGAGAGGAGTGTTTGGGCTAAGTTAGTGACCTAATTGATTATCACATTTATTAATTGTCTTCATCTTTCAGCCTAGTGTGTGTTTGTGCAAGAGAGGGTGAAGTCGAGAGAGGCAGCCGAGTGAGTTGATTTCTTTAGTGATACTAACCATTGTTTTCTCTTCTCCTTCCTCCCTTTGTGGCTTACAAATCACCACCTCCTGTATACCCTTTGTAGTTTAGAAGAATGGTAATCGGAGTGGGCAGAATGAGGCAATCGAAGGTGCACGTTGTGGGTCGAACATGGTGGTTGTGGTGTTGGTTTGGTTGTTTTCTGAGCCTGAAATTAAAGATTTCTCGAGTTGATATAATATTTGATGACTACAAATTGTTTTTTCTTTAAGAACACCAAGATTGAACAAACTTTTTAATAAATTTTGGTTACTAAACTTTATTTAGTTCCAAGATAGTAATTCAAAGTCTGTTACAATTGTATCATTAAACTTCAACGGTTTTTGCTTCAAGGTGATCATTATGTTTATGTTAGTTTGATTAATGATAAAATATCTGGATACTGCTTTGCGAGTTGATATACGTTGTCTCTATACGGCTGTCCCTAAGTATCCCACCACTAAAAAATTGAGAAATCACTACATCATTTTCTGCTAGCAAATTGCGGAACACCACACGATACATTATATCTTTCAGATGTCTTGCTGTTTGCTAAAAAGAGTTAATGAAGGCATGTGCCAACTTTTTAGTGGTGGGACAACAATAAAGACAACCAAATGAGAACAACAAGTCTCAACTTCGACATTGCCTTTTCCAATAGGCGAAGTAAGATGAATTTAATGACCAACCTAAAAAAAGATGGAAGTCTTGTACTAACACAAAACATTTTTTTTTGCAACTTTAGTTGGGGTTCAAGCCGAATCCCCCTTTTAAGTATGTAATATGTTTTATCTTCGCTATCAATAAAATCGCATTACTACGACTTACCCACTTTTTTGGACAGCCACAACAATGTCGAGATAAATGCTAAGCAACGTCAGCGTCTCACCAAAATCAGCATCTGGGTTCGTGCTGGGAGGGCAATTGTGTGACGAAGAATTTGCACATGCCCAAAACCACATCGTACCCTCCAAGCTGCCTATACCAATTGATCTCAATCCAGTCCATATCAAAAACGAGCATAGAGTTCGAATGGTTATTGGGCTCAATACAAGCATTCGGGTGTGTCAGAGTCGTCTCATTATCTTCTCTTCTTGACATTCTTCAATACTCGTTGCTCCTTTGAGCAGTAATAGGTAGGGATGACAGGATTTCTGAGCGGTGATATACGTAAAAAGCTTTGTAAAATGGGAAACAAGGTCAGTGTCTTGACCTACTTCTCTTAAAGTTAAATATGAAACCGTTCGAATACATGTAAGGATTATGGCATTGCCCTAACAATGTTGACCTATTGGCACCCATAAACTCAACCTAGTAACTCGATCCATTTACAAAATTGGGCTTATCAAATAATTCACCAACTTGTAGGCACATGTTGAGGATGAAATCTCACATAAATATGAAAACATTTACCAACATACTAGAAATACTCATGTTAACTTGGTTGACATTATAGGATGAAATTCCAAGACTCAATAACCTTTAAAGTTGAAATTCTAAGACATATAACATGTTTGGTAGTGTATTTTCAAGCTTATAAGCTAGTCAATATCATTTTTATCCGTACGATAGACTCAACTTTTATCTGCACATTATATAGCATTATGATCCAGAAAAAGCTTTACCAAATATAACATAACAATAATAAAGAGATTTTAAAATTTGTAATGAAGAGCTTGCTGATATAAACCATGTTTAACACTTTTAACTCTAGTTTGGTGGGGATTTGAATCAAATATTTAGTAGATTTTGAGAAAATGTATGATTGAAAAGTTGCGAATCTCATAAAATGTGTGATTAAAATTAACGGTTAAATTTGATTTAGATTAAAATAGAAATTTTAATTCCCACCAAACAAACAAGAACTTAACTTACAGAACATGGTTGACTTTTAATATTATACTGTTTAAAGTAATGCGAAGACTTGGACTCGCTTGCTTTAGACTATTCAGCTTTTCAATAATGTAAACAAACAAAGATTCTTTTCTCTTGTCATTTTCTAATCCTCCTATCAAACTGAAGGAAATGAAAAAACATGGATATCTAAATATTAGTAAGTCAAACAGTTCTAAAACTTATTTTCTCGCTGCTACTAATTTATCAATATTAAACCAATCAGGCACATGGAAAAAGATGAATTTGCGGCTCAATCTAATACTTGAGTGGAGTACCCTTCGAGAAGGTCAAGTTGCATGCAAGGAAATAAGTGTACAGTAAGATTAGACTTCACACGATCTAATAAGTAATGCGTTTGATGATGGTTAGCTATTTTTCTTGATCATGCACCCACGTGCTAATTGTGTGTGCGTGCTTGGTTGAGGGAGACGGACTTTCACTTAGATGTAGCGCTAGCAACTATATGGGAAATAGAAATGAGTAGTAGAAAAATGTTGACGTATATGAATTTCATGGAAGCTATATGATTTCTCTCCAAAATTTATTGTGTTTTTCTGATGAATGATTTAGGTGGAATTTATAGATTTGAAATAGCATATTTATAATGGTCAAACTTGTGCTAAATAATAAAAAATCTCCCTAATTAAAGTTAAAATTCTAATTTCTTTGATCGATAAATGAGTTATTTATCAAAATTGATTTTCATTATAGATACAAATATTATAATTCAACTCCTTTAGGCCCTTTCCAAAAAAAATCAATACACCAATCAATACACTTAGATTTATTGGATTTGTTGCTAAAATATAATATTAAATCCGAAACTCTCAACAGATGGCCAGTTCAGTATGTGAGGAAAATGCTTTGGGTTCCGAAGTTAGCAGATAGAGAGGGCGGCGAGCAGGTAAGGTTCTAGGTCCAAATAAGATTCGCTGCTTCACACATCGTTATTTTGTGATTATCTTCTATATTATGAAATTGTCCTCATATATATTTTTTTTTGGACCATTTAAATTTCTTTATTATACTATTGAACATTTCAATTCAAAATACCTTGATTACACTCAACTGATCTCACCAGAAAATTTATAGTCTGTCAAGTTGAATAAAATCTCATAATAAAACATCCATCTTAATCTGATTATGATTTATGGTGTAATCAACAAATCGTTTATCCCCCATATTCTTGGGTATTCATAGAATCCCCTCGACATGAGGTGAAAAATACCAAATTGGAGTACGATGGGACATTGAAAAATTTCGGCGGAGCAATGAAATGCATAGAGATCGAAAAGAGTATCAACGACTAAAGCATTTTGGTGGGTTGATTGACAATGACATTAAAAGATTTTAGATATTATCTTGTATTGTGATCGCTTCTTGCTTTGTTGGTGGTGCTAAAAAATGTTGGTGACCTTTCAATTTGGCCTTTTTTCACCTCAATTTGCTTTGAATCCCATCATTTTTAAAATTCTGGGGTACCGGCCGCCGGAGAAAAATGGGTAAAGATAATTGTTCATGGCCAGCGCCCTGGACGTCCAGGGCCGTCCTGAGAAAAATCTGACCTTTGGAGTTGAAGTTCTTTAGTTTAACTTCTTTTAAAATTATAAATTGTCAGCACTATGATCAAGATTCTTTAATTCAAAGTTGATATCCTGTTAGAATCTTCCAATTACGCGTATTAGTCGTCCTCCACATGATTGCTATTTAAAAGTCAACTACTTGGGCCGTTGCTTAATGGCAAATCCAATTAAATTAAGCGAGTTTCATTGACTGTTCTCGTCCAAAGAAACCTCCCTCCCCTCCCGCTCATCACGGTTTAATTGTAATGGAACTGTTATTTTTCTTTTTTTTCTTATATATACACATTGTGTAATAAAGTTGCACTTCATACAGCAGATCTGGACTCCATTCTTATACAAGAAAATATGTTCAAGTTTTTCTTATTCTTCTGTTTCATCATTTTGGCACATGGGAATCTTGGCCATGGCTCATCAGAGCGTAAGGTTGGGATTTATGAGCTCAAAAAAGGTGATTTTTCTATAAAGGTCACAAATTTTGGTGCAAGAATCGTCTCTGTTAATCTTCCTGACAAGAATGGTAAAGTTTCTTTCTTAGGGTTTAGTCTTTTCGATTCCTGTTTTGCTCTCTTCCTGATGAAATCGTGCTTTTGTTGGGTTTTTCAGGGAAGTTAGCAGATGTTGTTCTTGGTTATGATACGGTTAACGAGTACATGGTATGTTTCGTGTTTGATTTGTACATTACTTGAGATTAATTGATTTTGGCTGAAAATATGGAAAAAAATTTAAACTGAGAATGTGATGAGAGAAAAGAAATCAAACAGTAGAGAAGATACAACAAAGAGAATGAGTAAATTTGCACTTCTAATTTGTATTTTATGCATCTCTTTTGGCATAAACTTCCATATTCTGCTGGTCATTTGATTTTTGTTATATATGAACAGAGAACAAAATTGCAGACTTGCAATTTTATATTATCGCACTACATGTGAGTAAAGCCTATATTTTATGCACGAGGGTCCCATCCTCGTATGTTCCTCTCTCACATGTTCTATTAATTACTCATTTGTTTGGCCCTCGTTAAATTATAGCGTCCGTTTGATTCTCATTTTTTTAAGAATGAAAACGAAATATATAGTCGTTACAGACTCATACAAGAAATAGAAAGTTAAATATGGTGGCTTAATATAATAGATAACGGTCATATTTTTCATTTTTGTAGCCAAAGAATAGGAATCAAACCGGGGGATAATGTATTTTTCTCCCTCTCCTTATTAATCTTGCGTTATTCAATAAAATAATATTAAATGCAATCCAAAACTTTTTTCTTCATTTTTAACTACACATTTTCCAAAAAATAACTATTCCCACATGTCTCTGCGCTCATGATTGGGGTGGTGATTAGGGGTGAAGGAGAAGTGGTGGTGACAGCACAATCAGACGGGTAGTGGGGAGGCCCTCGGTGTAGGATGTAAAGGCGCTAGCCATCCGAGATGGACTCCCAAGGGACGTTGCCTGCAGCTCGTAGGGATGAATATTGTGGTGTTGCTTAGAGATGTGGGTGGTCACGGGTGGTGGTTCGTGTCTCTTTATCCACAGAGATGGGAATAAGGTGGTCGACAAGCTGGCGTCCTATGCTACTTCAGATAATAGTTTTTACAGATGGATAGAATGAATACTTCTATTTCTTTTGTCTCTGTTTTACCTTCAAAAAATAATCAGAGATTTTAAGATATGAAAAGCTAATTCCTTGAAGAGTATTCTGTGTACAGATAATCTAAGCCTGATGGATTGTATTCCATTTCAAACTCTAGCAGAAGTAATTTTAAGATATCTATTGGGTGCTTTGTTGGCTGTTCATCACGTAGCTAGGAAAACATAGTTGTCATGCCTCCAGTTCTAAATTGATCAGCCAGTAACCTACTGCGCTGAGAATTTTTGTCGAGGCATTGAATATTTTCATTACCGCTGCTTTATTATAGTGAGCTTCTGTAAATTACTCCATAAATGCTTTGATTACATATATCTATGATTTTGTCTTTGACTACAGAACAATTCGGGTAACTTTGGAGCAATTGTTGGACGAGTTGCTAACCGCATTGCTGGTGCTCAGTTTACATTAGACGGAACACTTTACAAGCTTGATGCTAATGGTGGGAATGGGACTTACACGGTTCACGGTAATTTAAAATTTTACGTTTTACTTTCAATTTGCTTCTTACATGTAAGTAATGTTCTTATTTCCCTCGATTTTTAAGTTTTCGTGTGGATACAGGTGGGAGAAAAGGATTCAGCCAAGTTATTTGGAAGGTGAAGAAACATGAAAAAAGCGGTCCATCTCCTTACATTACCTTGTCCTATTACAGTGCTGACGGAGAAGAAGGTATGCATTATGTCCTTCAAATTTTTTTGAAGTGAGATCTATACTTATCTAGTACCATACTCTCATTGATCAACGATATATTTAGTTTCCTATGCATGCTAGACCGGATCCTATGATGTAATTGTTCTAAAAATCTCAATTCCTTGTGTTTGGAATAGGTTTTCCGGGTGCTGTTTTGTCCTACATAACCTATGCTCTTTCTGAACCGTACAAATTAAGCGTAACAATGAAGTCAAAAGCTTTAAACAAGGCCACTCCAGTGAACCTAGCCCAACACAGCTTCTGGAACCTTGGTGGTCACGACAGTGGGGATATTCTGTCGGACGAGCTCCAGATATCTGCATCACGCATCACGCCTGTGGATAAAAACCTAATCCCGACTGGTGAAATTGTATCTGTTAAGAGAACACCATATGATTTCCTCTCGCCACACGTGATCAAAACCCAGATGAAAGAACTTCCCAACGGATCCAAGGGTTATGATATTAATTATGTTCTTAATGGTTATGAGAGCAAAAAGATGAAGCCAGTAGCTGTGGTTTATAACAAGAAGTCTGGACGAGAAATGAAGCTATCATCAAATGCTCCCGGCGTACAACTCTACACCGGGAACAACCTTAAAAACGTAAAGGGGAAAGGTGGATACATTTATCAAGCTTATGCAGGCTTATGTTTAGAGACTCAAGGTTTCCCAGATTCGGTCAATCACCCAAATTTCCCCTCACAGATTGTGACTCCAGGGAAGCCTTATGAACATTACATGTTGTATACATTTACAATTAATAAAGATTAAGAGCGTTTTGCTTCTCTGCTTGAAACTTTGAATTAGGCCAGAAAAATTGTTCTTTTCTATTGCAGAGGAACAATGAACCTTTTTCTTCTGATATTAGCTTGTGGATTGTTTTTTCCTTTTCTTACTACATTCTCTTTCATTTCTGAGGAGATCGTGAGGGTGAGGAATAAAATCTTATTCTGAATTTGGGAATTTAGCATTGAAGGCAACAGATTATTTTCTTTAACATACAGTTGACAGAAAAGTGTTATAATCAGTTAATAAATGTGAAAATAACAATCCCAAGCTAAATAAAATTAGGGGCTCGGCTCGCTCCCAGGCAAGCAGCTAATTTCTTGTGTGAACTGGCTTGTCATAGGTGAGTGAAATTGCAATTTTCAGGGGAAAAAAAAATAAAATCGACGAGCTGCGAGAAGAGGGATACTTCTCTTGATCATGCACCTGCATATTAATTTCGTGTGCATGTATGCTTGGGTGTGAAGAGACAGATTTTATTAACTGTGGATTAGATGTAGCACCGGCAAGTAGACGGAGAATAGAAATGAAGAGTAGAAAAACGTCGACGCATATGAATTTCATAGAAGGTACCAAGTTGTATATTTCTCTCTAAAATTGATTGAGGTTGTGATGAATGAATTAGGTGGAATTCAAAGATTTGAAATAGCAGATTTATAATGGTCAAACTTGTGCTAATTATTTAAAAGTCTCCCTAATTATTTTAATTTCATTGATTGATATTTGAGTTGTTGATAAAGATTGAGTTTCATTATGGATAGCAAATAATTATAATTCAACTCCTTTAGCGCCGCATCACACATCATTATTTTGTGATTTTCTTCTAAATTATTCAATTACTGTTTGACCTGTTCTCATAAATGTTTTTTTGACAATTTAAATATATTTGTTAAAGAATTGAATGTTTCCACTCAAAATACATCCATTACACTCAACTGACCTTATCAGAAAATTTTGGGGGTTGTTTGCAAAGCTTTTGATAAAATTTTGGTAGATTGTGACAAAAATTGATGTAACGTATGGTTGAAAAGTTGATAAATGATTATAAACACTTTTCAAACATGCTCTAAACATAATTACACGCGCAAACGAATTGGGTAGGGCTAGCCTCAAACTCACGTGTTCAACAAAAAGTTGATGCCATGATGATTGTAGTTCTTTGCGTTTAATTTGATTATGAGTATTTTCATTCATTAGGATTTATGGTGTAATGACTGTAATCTACAAATCATTTCTCTCCGAATTATTGAGTATTCATAGAATCAATGAGATTTGAATCTTATTTTGTGATTTATTGCTTCTTGCTGCACGGGGATGGCGAAAAAAAATGTTGGAGACCATTCTAATAAGCCTTTTTTCACCTCAATTTGCTTGCGGACCGAGCTATTTGTACTCGGGTGTTTTCCCGCCCCTCACATGGGGGCGGGGCCCACGTGCGGGTGAATGCCTTTGTACAAATGAAATTTCCCTTTGCTTTAACTCCCATCGTGTTTCAAATTCTTGATTATTAACTGTCGAAGAAAAATCTAACTACTTAGAGTTGAAGTTAATAAAATTGTCTCTTTAGTTGAGCTTTTTTGAAATTATAAATGGTGAGTACTACTTCATCTCTATCCAAGTCTTCCAATCACGCGTAGCAAAAGGAAGAAAAGGAGAATATTTAGTGGTCCTCTGCGTGATTGCAATTTACAAGTCAACTACTTTGCCATTTCTCCACTATGGAAAATCCAATGAAGAATTTTCATTCCA